GAAGAGCCAGTTGCCAAAGCCACAGCTTCAATTCTAGCCATTTCGCTTAGCAGATGAAGACTCATATGTTCAGAAAAAGATAGAAATATATAGTAAAGACAGATTCAGAGGAAAAAGAATCCTCTAAATGATTTACAGTGTGTTTAAAAATATATGTTGGCTTGGGAGAGGAAAAAAAAGATAAAGTACTTAAACAGAAATAGAGTAGTTGGATGGGGTGACACAGTAAATCTCTGAATTCAAGGTCATCCTGGTTTACAGAGTGTGTAACCAGCACAGCTAAAGATACACAGAGAAATCCTGTCTCAAAACCCAACCATTTAAAAATAAAAATAAAAGAAATGGAGTAAGTGAAAAAAAAAGCTACATAAACATGGAAAATACAGAGAATCTGGATCCTGTATGTTACTGTGTTGTCTTTGAGTTGACTGCTGAGGAAGGAGTAACAGCTGCTCAAACACATTTGATTATAAATGCTGCTGAGCAAAGAGGTCAAGACTAGGATGGAGAGACCCACTGAAACAGCTTACCTGAGCTAATGGGAGCCCATGGACTGCAGTCCAGCATAGGACCAAAATAGGCCCACTTAATGTGAGTGACAGTTGTATGACTGGGGCAGACTACAGGGTCATTGGCAGTGGGACCAAACAGTTTGTACTGGCCAAACAGTTTATAATTAATATAAACCTCGCTTTGTTTCTTTGGGATTGAATGGCTTTGGGACTGGGTGGCACAGAAACTTCTGTCTATACAGCTACCTATAATTCTATGTGTGTACAGAAATTAATAAAGATAGATTTCACAACTTCAACAAAATTAACTCAAAGTGACACTTAAACTGTTCATGTTTTGAACCTCCAGCTACTGATATGTCTTCCAGAGAGGCCCCACGCTCTGGAGCCCTCCCTGCAAATGGAGGCGAGCACAGCTGTGGCATCTGCCCTAGTCACCTGCCCAACACCATGCAAACCTGAGATACCTCTACAGATCAGAAACTCATTTTGTCCCTTGGAACTGAGCTTCACACCATGGTGGCTGGCTATAGCAGAAAGTTGAAAACATTCTAATCATGTGTTGCTGAAGGATGACGCCCATCACCTCCTTTCTTCCAGTTTCTAAACTATCTGACACATGTGTTAAACAAACCTGAAAGTGGAATGAAACATTCAGAACTTCTACAACTCAGATCTTCAGTTTCCAATCTGTCTTCCCAAGGCACAAGAAAAGCAATGCCTCTGTGTGGACACTGGACGGAGATATTACTAGATAATAGTCTCCGAGGCAATGCCTCTGTGTGGACACTGGATGGTGATATTACTAGATAATAGTCTCCGAGGCAATGCCTCTGTGTGGACACTGGATGGAGATATTACTAGATAATAGTCTCCGAGGCAATGCCTCTGTGTGGACACTGGATGGTGATATTACTAGATAATAGTCTCCGAGGCAATGCCTCTGTGTGGACACTGGATGGAGATATTACTAGATAATAGTCTCCGAGGCAATGCCTCTGTGTGGACACTGGATGGAGATATTACTAGATAATAGTCTCCGAGGCAATGCCTCTGTGTGGACACTGGATGGAGATATTACTAGATAATAGTCTCCGAGGCAATGCCTCTGTGTGGACACTGGATGGAGATATTACTAGATAATAGTCTCCGAGGCAATGCCTCTGTGTGGACACTGGATGGTGATATTACTAGATAATAGTCTCCGAGGCAATGCCTCTGTGTGGACACTGGATGGAGATATTACTAGATAATAGTCTCCGAGGCAATGCCTCTGTGTGGACACTGGATGGAGATATTACTAGATAATAGTCTCCGAGGCAATGCCTCTGTGTGGACACTGGATGGAGATATTACTAGATAATAGTCTCCGAGGCAATGCCTCTGTGTGGACACTGGATGGAGATATTACTAGATAATAGTCTCCGAGGCCAGGATGGCAGAACCTCCCCCTGCCCAGAGAATCCACACTCAAGGAAGCTCAGTGGTCCAGAGCCACTGCTCAAGTCACCACAGGGATCAATAGAACCCCAGGCTGGCTTATGGGGTATCTGAGTCCAAGCAGTCCTGATTCTGATAGCTCAGTCAACCTACTCTTCCTGGTCTAGAGACAGTGGCCCCCACACTCACCATGGACTAGCTTGTGGACTTCAGCCCCCGCCCCCAGCAGAACAAGAGGAGAATCATGAAAAGAAATTGTAAACTACCTTCCACTAGTGCTCCTGAAGGCCAAGCCTTCCCAAATTTCCTCATTACTTAAGACCACCCAGTGAGCTTTAGGACAATAGCAGCAATGCCACTAGGTGAGTAGAGATCAAATGACTCAGACCACACAGTCCTTTCCAACCGTGTCCTTCCATATATGATCAAATAAGGCCCTAATCTGGGAAGTCTGCAGTTTAGTAAAATCCCCCAACCTCCCAGAACACTTCCTGCTCCTCTTCTAAGGCACAGGGTCCTATGTGTGCACCGTCCAATACAGCCAGTCCTTTGCTTCATAGTTGGGAGGTCCTGCAGCCAAAGGCAGGTCACATCCAAACAGTAACTGTTGTTAAACAAAAAGAGGCCATGGATTAGAACACAATGAAAAGTCTATGGGAGGGCTTGGAGGCAAAAACAGAGATAGGAGAAATAATGTAATTATAATTGTAAAATACTTTGCTAAAAAGTTGAAACAAGCCTTATGGCTATATGCTCCAGAGACTAGGAATTTCTAGTAGAGCACACCAAGTACCACTCATGCCATTTCTCTCAGGGTATACAACTGAAACCTGGAAAACACAGTCATACAATGCAGGGACACACCATTTTATCCAGTTCTTCTATTTAGGTTGAACTGGTGTAACTACAATAATTTGGGTTCTAGTTCAGTTTTTTTTTTCCAGATTCTTTATGCCTGCTCTGTGGACCCAAGATATGGCTAAATAGAACCTTTTTTGACCATCTAAAATTGATTCCCTCACTACTCATTACTAAAGTCAAGTACTGTCAGAGCAGGAAAGCCTTTACCCTCCTCCTTGCTCATCTTTTTCTGTGCTGTGACTACACATGCTTTACAGTTAGTCAGTGGACTCAATTCTTCCATGGGTCTCACTTCATTTGTAAATTCAAAATAAAATCTACAGGATCATTCACTGATCTATTTTTTCCTTCCAGTCAAGGCCCAGCCAGGACTGTCTTTTCATCAATGGGCAGCAGAGGCAGGAGTAGGTGTTCAAAGCAATTTTCAGTTACATAGTGTGAGGCATCGGAGCTATGGGAGACACTGATCTAAACCAGTGGTTCTCAGCCTTCCTAATGCTGTCTCATTAATGTACAGTTCCTCATGATGTAGTAACTCCCAATTATAAAATTATTTTCACTACTACTTCATAGCTGTAATTTTGCTGTTATGAATTGTAATATATATATATCTGCATTTTCTGATAGTCTTAGGCCAGTCCTGTGATAGGGTCATTTGATCCCTCAAAGTGAGCCAGACCCCCCCCAGATTGAGAACCATTGCTCTAAACTAATATGAATAAATAACACTTAAGAAAAAACAATGGAATGATATTCTAAACTGGGAAACATTGAAAACAGAAATAAAGAGATTATAGCAGTAATGCATTAAAAATGAAATAAAAAAATACAAAACACTGACCTTTTAAAATGATAAAAATAATTGGAAGAGTAGTTAGCTATACTGACATTGAAACAGAGTGGGTACTTCCCTGGTAGGGAGAATGCCATTAAGAAGAGAATGCATGACTTTATCCCATGTAAAATGTTAGCTACTAAGTGCTGTGAGCTGACACATGGAGTTACAGCCAATGGTCTATGTCTCAAACCTCTCAGCTGATTTAAATGTGTCAACCTGGATTGCTCATAGCTGCATGAGAGAGTTTGTTGGTTGAAAACTGAATACTTAGTTGTTCAAGCTATCCTTCCTAAACTGAACACCCACCAATTCTGTCTGTCTTCATTCACATGGAAGGAGTTAATTCATGATAGGAAATACACAGATAGTCCCTCACCCTACACCATCAGGTCTGTCTTTGTAATGGAGACCCCTGCAGTTCACTGCCTTTAAACTTAACCTGTGATGTAGCTATTGTCTAGTCTGTTTGCCCCTGCAGTGTGCACAGTACACTGTTCCTCCTCTTCTATTCTAAATGGACGAGCCATGCTCCATCTACACAAATCCTTCTCCTGTTACTGCATTGGATAGTCCACTATATGACTCAAACTGGTCATTTTAGAATTCTATGGTGCTATAGACCTGCAATTCAGGAACGTAGGGTGGTTTAGTCAGGAGGATAGCAAGGGCAGGGTCCGGCGGAACTACAGACGCGGTTCAAGTTCACCTTAATCAAACTGACTCAAAATTGCTTTTCAAAAAAGTATTGAAAGTGAAGAACTTCTAGAAGATACTAGAGAGATCAGTATTGTTCGACTCTGGCAAATCTGGTGATGTCTCTCCACACTGCAGGCACCAGCTTTTCACAGTGATGTTAACAAGGATCTTACTAAGCACAATTCTGCTCCCAATGCTCTGCGCAGACACGGCCGGGTGACTGAAGTTATTCAGAGGCTGCCAGCCCGGCCCAGGGAGTTGCAAGGCCACATAGGACCACGCTGAACCGGGCAGGAATACAGCGAACTCTGTCTGCCCACTGGCTCCCACCAATCCAGGGGAGGACCCATCACAGGCTGCTGAACCTCAGCCAGCCTCTCTCCCTAGTTTGAGGACAGCGGCCCCTCCCTCACCAAGGGTAGCTACTCCACGGCACGTGGGGACAGCGGACCCTGGCTCACCAAGGCCCACCGGTTCTCCCCGCGTGAGTTCAGCAGCCCCTCATTCACCATGGCCAGCCACTCTTGCCGGCGTGGGGACAGCACCCCCTAGCTCACCAAGGCCCACCGCGCCTCCCCGCACGGGGTCAGCAGCCCCTCAATCACCATGGCCAGCCACTCCTCCCCACATGGGGACAACCGGTCCTCACTCACCGTGGTCCACCGCTCTTCCCCGTTTGTGGAGCGCAACCCCTCGCTCACCATGCTGCGGCTGCCAGAACGATCCGAGCTCTCCCCACAATGCAGCTCAAGGTTCAGCGCCGAGGAAACTTCCGACTTCCTCAGAAATGCTGAACCAGAAGTCTGCCCCCCGGAGGAACCCACCAATCTGACTGGCCGGTCCTCTGGAGGCTCTGATTGGCTAGTAATGAGTGAGTGATAGGAATGCAACCCAATGATTCTCAGCCTTGGCTTCAATCTTAAGGACAGACCTATCCTAGATTGGATGGAAATTTGTGCCAAATTCAACAACCAGTCTCTTGTTAATGTAAACCAGTGGGCTCAGTTTTAAAAGGAAGTATGCAAATTCAGGAGGAGGTTACTCAGATAATGTTGCACAAGGGCAACACAGGTAACTCAAAAACGTTAAACAGAGTCCACAGTGACCTTGGAACTGAAAATCACAGACCTTTGCGTGGAAAAGTGTTGGATTCTCAGGAGTTGAAGCAATTCCATCCCAAAGGCCCTGGCCCCAGATCGTTGCCAGCTCTGCCAAGCATATTCCCGGTATTAGAGAGGGAACTCTGATTTTGCTCTATACATCAGGGCCTTAGAGAAACCACCCAAAACTTAGGCAGGTTGCCAAACTTGGAGAGTACTAGTTTCAAGCCTTCTATTGAAGCTCTGCACTGGTGAGGGAGGAGCCGCTGTCCTCAAACTAGGGAGAGAGGCTGGCTGAGGTTCAGCAGCCTGCGATGGGTCCTCCCCTGGCTTGGTGGGAGCCAGTGGGCAGACAGAGTTCGCTGTATTCCTGCCTGGTCCAGCGTGGTCCTATGTGGCTTTGCAGCTCCCTGGGCCGGGCTGGCAGCCTCTGAATAACTTCAGTCACCCGGCCGTGTCTGCGCAGAGCATTGGGAGCAGAATTGTGCTTAGTAAGATCCTTGTTAACATCACTGTGAAAAGCTGGTGCCTGCAGTGTGGAGAGACATCACCAGATTTGCCAGAGTCGAAAAATACTAATCTCTCTAGTATCTTCTAGAAGTTCTTCACTTTCAATACTTAACGTTTAGGTTTAGGAACCATCTGGAGTTAATTTTGGGGAGTTTCTAAACGTTATCTTCTGTGTAGAGTAGCAGAATTGTAGAATTGATGGTAATAGATTTGATGGCAAAAGAATTTACCAGTTCTTAGGAGACATTAAGTCACACAAAGTAGAACTTAGGTAAAGGAGAGCTGCATCCCAAATACCGCAAAGATAAGTAGTAACATTAACCATGCCTGTTAGAAATTACTATGTTAACATGTGTTTTCTTCACTGGGATTAATCACCCATTCATTCCCATAACAAATACAACCCTGATTTACAAACAACCTAAAGACTCAACTCCCCATCAAAGACCTCTAATGTGGTGCTTAGGGACCATTACAGGGACCACACAACCAACATTACGTCCTGGTGTGCCAAAAAGACATATTAATTCTAGAACAGCTGCATCACCAGCCCTTTTGAAAAGCAATTTTGAGTCAATTTGATTAAGGTAAACTTGAACCCTGTCTGTGGTCCCTAGGACACTGCCCTTGCTATCCTCCTGATACAATATCCTCCTGATACAATAGTTTACATAAGTGACCCCAAAAATTCTACCAAGGAAATTCTACAACTTGTAAATACTTTCATCAATGTAGCAGGATACAAGATTAGCTCAAAAAATCAGTAGTCCTCTTGTACACAGATGATAAACGGGTTGGGAAGAAATCAGAGAATCAACACACTTCACAGTAGCTACAAATAGCATAAAATATCTCAGAGCAACTCTGACCTAACAAGTGGAAGACTTGTATGACAAAAACTTTAAATCTTTGAAGAAATAAATTGAAGAAGACAACAGAAAGTAGAAAGATCTATGCTCTTGGGTAGGCAGAATTAACATAGTAAAAATGGCAATCTTACCAAAAGCAACATACAGATCCAATGCAATGCCCATCAAAATCCCAGCAAAATTCTTCACAGACATCAATAGAACGGTACTCCTTATGGAAAAGCAAAAACCAGGATAGCCAAAACAATCTTGTGCAATAAAAGAACTTCTGGAGGCATCACAATCCCTGACTTCCAACTCTACTACAGAGCTACAGTACTGAAAACAGCCTGGTATTGGCATAAGAACAGACAGGAAGACCAATGGAACCGAATAGAAGACCCAGATATCAATCCACACATCTTCAAACACCTGATCTTTGACAAAGAAATTAAAAATATCAAATAGAAAAAAGAAAGCATATTTAACAAGTGTTGCTGGCATAACTGGATATCAACATGTAGAAGAATGAAAATAGACCCATATCTATCACCATGCACAAAACTCAAGTCCAAATGGATCAAAGACCTTAACATAAAGTTAGCCACACTGAACTTTATAGAAGAAAAAGTGGAAGTACACTTGAATGCATTGGCACAGGGAACCACTTTCTAAATATAACCCCAGCAGCACAGACAGTGAAACAAACAATTAATAAATGAGACCTCCTGAAACTGAAAAGCTTCCACAAAGCAAAGGACATAGTCAACAAAACAAAACAACAGCCTACAGAATGGGAAAAGATCTTCACTAACTCCACATCAGACAGAGGTTTGATCTCCAAAATATACAAAGAACTCAAGAAATTGGACACCAAAAGATCACATAATCCAATAAAAAAATGGAGTACAGATGTAAACAGAGATCTCTCAACAGAAGAATCTCAAATGGCTGAAAGACACTTAAGGAAATGCTCAACATCCTTAGTCATCAGAGAAATGCAACATCAAAACAACTCTGAGGTTCCATCTTACACCTGTAAGAATGGCCAAGATCAAAAACACTGATGACAACTTATGCTGGAGAGGTTGTGGGGTAAAGGAAACACTTCTGCATTGCTGGTGGGAATGCAAGCTGGTACAACCCCTTTGGATGTCAGTGTGGCGATTTCTCAGAAAATTAGGAAACAACCTTCCTGAAGACCCAGTATACCACCTTTGGGTATATATCCAAAGGAAGCTCAATCATGCCACAAGGACATGTGCTCAACTATGTTCATAGCAGCATTGTTTGTCATAGGCAGAACCTGGAAACAACCTAAATGCCCCTTAATCGAAGAACGGATAAAGAAAATATGGTACATTTATACAATGGAGTACTACACAGCAGAAAAAATACTGACAGTTTGAATTTTGTAGGAAAATGGATGGAGCTAGAAAACATTATTTTGAGTGAGGTAACCCAGACCCAGAAAGACAATTATCACATGTACACACTCATACGTGGTTTTTAAACATAAAACAAACAAACAAACAAACAAAAAACAGCCTACAAATCACAACCCCAGAGAACCTAGGCAACAATGAGGTCCCTAAGAGAGACTTACATAGATCTAATTTACGTAGGAAGTAGAAAAAGACAAGATCTCCTGAGTAAATTGGGAGCATGGGGACCTTGGGAGAGGGTTGAAGGGGAGGGAAGAGGCAAGGAGGGGGGCAGAGAAAAATGTAGAACAGAATAAAAATCAATAAAAAAAACCCTTCCTACTGGCAACAGCTTTTTTAGCATGTGGTGTCCTTTTCTTTTGGCTCTGGTAGGACCTGCACTTTTGCAAGACTGACTCTAGACCCATGCAAATTCTTCATGAACCTTTCAAGACTAAACATTTAAAAGTGCCAGATTCCTTTGATGTGTTGCTAGTTTTGGAGGCACATAGCTAAGAAAATTCTCCACTTCCTTATGAGGTCATTAATTATGTCAGGAAAAGCAATGTGTCAAAAACAAAACAAAACACCAAGACTAACAAAATCCAGAGAAGTCTGGTTTCATCTCTTTAGTATAAATAGGGTAATCCACTCAGGACCCAGTGGCAGCAGGAAGTTTATGGATGTCTCCTTTTCGTTTTATGCCACAGTAACAAAGAAGTCACTGGGCATTGATTCTTTTTAACAAAACCATTACTAAAGAAGATGGCTAACTCAAATGGCTGCTGCCTTTGTGATGAGGTCACCAGTCAAATGAGAACAAACCACATGGTTTCTTTTTGCTCAAGGTTAGCTCAGCCCAATGGAAAGGTGAACCCATTCACCATCAGGCAAACTCTCTGCAAGATTCACATATCTCACAGGTTAAATGTGTCCTGTTGCTCCCTAATCATAAGCCCATGAGCATTCTTAGTTTTTCTGCTTTCCATATAACTTTAGAAACAGCTTTTCTTTTATAAATATTTAGGAGTTTTCTTTGGGTATGTAGAATTTATGCTGCAAACTGAACATGTCCAACTTCTTAATATTAACTCACCATGTTAACAGGATCATCAAGTGATGGAGGAAGGTCATTGGTTAAGTAATAAATAAACTGCTTGGCCCTCATAGGTTGAAACATAGGTGGGAGGAGTAAACAGAATAGAATGCTGGGAGGAAGAGGAAGTGAGCTCAGAGAGACTCGACAGCTCTCCTCTCGGGGCAGACGCCTTTGAGAGACTCCACGCTCCTCTCTCCTGGGCAGACGCATGCGATGAAGCAAGCCGCCAGGTCAGACATGCTGAATCTTTTCCCGTAAGACCAGAGCTACACAGTTTATTAGAGATGGGTTGATCGGGATATCGGAATTAGCCAGTAAGGGCTAGAACTAATGCGCCAAGCAGAATGGGCCGAGCAGTGTTTAGAGGAATACAGTTTCCATGTAGTTATTTCAGGTAAAGCTAGCCGTGTGTGCGGCCGGGTGCTGGGGACTATTTCAACAATCAAGGGACTAACCATTTATTTAGTTTTTTATTGTTTTCCGTATATGTGAAAACTTAGTTTATTGCCTAAAATATACTTTGGGGCTAGATGGGTGGCTTAACATGTCCTCTTCTTTAGGATGATGCCACACCAACTCCAGTGTCGTCTGTGTGACACGAAATATGTCATTATGCCAGACGGGAGCTATGTGTACCATGGGACTAGGCTTCCTGGAGGTCAATGGCAGACAGCCTGGTATTGACCATCCTTGGGGCAGAGACAGGTTTCTCGATTAGCTGGCTATGCGGGATATGAGCTTTGCATAATCTCTTTCATAATAATGATAGTCTTTATATATACAAGACAAGGATCATTCTCTTCAGGAACAGCTCTGAGATAGGGAATCACAGTATGGGAATGTATAAGACTACAGCAGAACCTTTGTCATACACGGGGTGTATGATGAGCAAGGGAATAGATGGGTTAATGTTGATGGACAAAGACTGTTATGTTATACTTTGAACTTTATGGATAGGCTTGCTAGATCCCAACCCCCATGGTGTCTGCTGCATAAGAAGGTACTAAAAAGTATATTTCAACAGGTACAGAGAACTGATTAGGCATATTTGATCACTAGATGAGATAAAGAAAGGGTTAGAAAGAGGAAGGGCCATGATAGTGATAATGAGACAGAAACTTTCTATTCATAAGATGAAACCACTTGTCTGAGGTTTATGTTCCCAAGGACAAGATTTCCTCTTCTAAGGATGCTTTATGTCTAACACCTGTCCCTGATAATATACTTTTCTTAAATGTCGCTGATGTGACTAAAAGAAGCTTTCATACTGTGCCAATCAATGATACATGACCTTCTGATTTGTTCTTTGTTTGAATACTATATAATGAAAACACGAATTCAGTAAAATCGTAGTAGATTTCAACCACTCTCTTGTGTGTTGTGTCTGTCTGTCATCCGCCGAACTTGTGCCTTCCTGTGTACCAAGACCCTGCTTCTCCCACGGTCTGAGTGGCTCCCCTCAGCTGGTCCGGCAGAATGACCTGTGTCGATCCTAATACTCATGTTGGATGGCTCATATGTTCCTGCAACTCCAGATCCAGGGAATCTGACAAACTTCTCTGAAGAAGGATGCTTAAAAGAAATCCCACACTAGCTCAGAATTGAAAATAATAGACGGGCTGGGTGGTGGTGGCACAAATGCCTTTAATCCCAGCACTTCGGAGGCAAAAGCAGGTGGATCTCTGTGAGTTTGAGGCCAGCGTGGTCGACAAGAGCTAGTTCCAGGACAGGCTTCAAAGCCACAGAGAAACCCTGTCTCAAAAAACTGAGAGAGAGAGAGAGAGAGAGAGAGAGAGAGAGAGAGAAATAATAGATGGTTATTTATTTAGGGATAGACTCACAAGTCACAATCCTCTGCTGGAATTGAGAACAACAATCAAATCCAGCACCTGGAAAAGAGGCCAGACACGTGCTTCACATCGGCATAAATAGTATAAAAGGCCACATCCAAGTGGGCGGGTAACTTAAAAGCTACTGGCTGTAGGAATTCCTACAGCACTTCCCTCTTTTGTTTAAATAAGAGAGTTCTCAGACTAATACAAAATTATATACAATAAGAAAAAATATATCAAGCAAGAAACCTGTGATAAATGTTTCAATAATTATTCTATCCTAATGAGTTTAAGTCTTGGCCAGGTCATGAGAGGAAAGTAACTACAACTACCTAGTCTTCAACCTCATTGAAGATTCGAGAAGGGAAATAATATTACTTGAGTAGGCAGCAAGTGCAATCAAACAACTTCCAAAAATGTATAACAACTGACAGAGACAACCAGCTACCTGAGCAATCACCCAAAGTCTCATTCGCACTATTGAAGGTCTAGCATAACTGACAGACCATTTTCAGAGGTAGGCAATTTTTCAAAACTGTCTTACCCTGTCTTTGCAAGATTTGAGTCTTTTTCCTTGTGTCCTGCTTATCTATTTCTGGATACCATGTACATTGTCAGTGGTTGAGACGTGGGCAGCTCCTTGCCCAAAGATCAGTTTTGCCAAGAAGAAAACAAGCTCCAAGTGGAGTGTCTTTGGTGCTCAAAATTCTCTCTGGAATAGATCGGTGCTGCCAGGAGCAATAGTGTCTCACTTTGACAGAACCCCAAGTTAATTAAATGCCATATTCTACAGCTCTTTGAAGTGGTTGAAAATAGGCCCGCACACTGAAGATTTTGATGCAGTACTGAGAGCATGGAGTCCATAAGATCAAGATGAAAGCATTCAAGGGGAATGGCTCCATATCTGGCAGAGGCAGGTGGATCTCAGGGAGTTTGAAGCCAGCCTGGTCTACAAGAGCTAGTTCCAAGCACAAGCTTCAAAGCAACAGAGAAACCCTGCCTTGAAAAACAAGACAAAAAAACCAACCAAACCAAACCAAAAAAAAAAAAAAATAATAAATAAATAAATAAATAAATCAAGCAAAAGAGAGAAAGAGAAGAAATGTCGATTTACAGATAGAAAATAAGAAAAAAAAAACCCAGAATGTTCTTCACCAAGCAGACAGCCTGGTTTATAAAGTAAGTTCCAGGACAACTAGGGCTATTACATAGAGGAACTGTGCCTCAAAAAATAAAAAAAAGAAAGAAAGGAAAAAAGAAAGAGCCAGGCAGTGTTGGTGCACAACTTAAATCCCAGCACTTGGGAGGCAGAGGCAGGCAGATCTCTGTGAGTTCAAGGCCAGCCTGGTCTACAAGTGAAATTCCAGGACAGCAAGAGCTACAGAGAGAAACCCTGTCTTGAAAAATTAAAGAAAATCATACAAAGAGCCGCCTCACCCTGGCCCCTCCCCCTCTCTCCCCCCCCCAGGCCGTGCTCAGTGCTCGGTGCTCGGTGCTGAGTGCTGAGTGCTCGGTGCCCCGGGGAATCATGGGAGACGTAGTATTGTTGGGCAGCCGGCCGGCAGGCCGAAACTACGGGGATATACAGAGTCCATGGACAGGCAACAAGGCCGCCCTGGGGAATCATGGGAGATGTAGTCTTGTGGGGCAGCCGGCCGGCAGGCCGAAACTACAGGGATATACAGCCACGCCCCTTCACGCAGACCACGCCCTCTCACGTAGGCCCCGCCCCCTCACGCAGGCCCCGACCCCATCTGCGACACCGCCCCTCACCCTGGCCCCGCCCCCATTGGCGACCACGCCCCTCAATGACGGCCACGCCCCTCACGCAGGCCCCGCCCCCATCAGTGACACCGCCCCCTCACGCAGGCCCCGCCCCATTGTGGTGGCCCCGCCCCCTCTCGCAGACCACGCCCTCTCACGTAGGCGGTTAGCGCCGCGGTTCCGTGCGCGCGAAAAAAGTACCGCCGTCCTAGGAACTCGGTTCCGCTTCCGGGTGCGCGAAAAAGAAATTCCGCCGGCCGCGGGACGCGCGAGAAACGTTCGGCGGGCCGACGGACGCGCTTCTGCATTCACGAAAAAACAATTTGGGCTTGCGAGAAAAGTTCTGCGGGCCGAGGAACGCGCTTCCGCTTCAGGACGCGCGAAAAAAAGATCCGCGGAACAAAGAACTCGCGAACAAAAGACCGCCCCGGACGACGAACTGTGTTGCGCTTCCGGTCCTGCGATAAAAGTACCGCGTAGACGAGGGGAACGCTTCGGGGGGCGCGAAAAAAAGTACCGCCGGCCGGACGTCCGGTTCTGTCCGGACCCGCTGGAAAATCCGTCCGCCTCGGGGTCTCCGCGCCGCCGCCCGCGATGATAACGGAGCAACGCGGGCGCCCGTGCACATCGGTTCCGCTTCCGCCGAATGTTCCTCTTCCGCTGAGGGCCTGGCGCTTTGGTTCCGGGGTGCTGGCGGGGCGAATCGGGATTCAGCGTGACCCGCGGGACCCGCGCCCTCTGACCCGGAAGCGCTATTCCTACGGCGGCTGCCCGGCTCTGACCGGAGTCCCCCCGCCTGTACGGCACCGGCCGGGGAACGGATCGCGCGGGACCCGCGCCCTCTGACCCGGAAGCGCACTGGCGGACCGGAATTTCAGGTTCGGGGCTGCCGGGTCTTCACCGAACTGCCCGCCGGTACGGCGGCTCCCACGGGAGGGGCGGGAACCGCGCGCTCCGATCCGTACGGAAGCTCCGACTGCGAACAGGAGTTCCCGGATGGGGGCCGCCATGTTTTCACCGCAGTCCCCGGCTGTACGGCGGCCGCCGAGGGATCGGGAACCGCGCGCTCCGATCCGTACGGAAGCTCCGTCTGCGAACCGGAGTTCCCGGATGGGGGCCGCCATGTTTTCACCGCAGTCCCCGGCTGTACGGCAGAATTTCAAGGGACGGACGGGAACCGCGGCTTCCGCTCCGTACGGAAGCTTCCCGGATGGGGGCCGCCATGTTTTCTCCGCAGTCCCCGGATGTCCGTCCGACTGCCAAGGGACGGGCGGGAACCGCGGCTTCCGCTCCGTACGGAAGGTTCCCCACCCGATGCGGGCCGCCATGTTTCCCGTCCGTCCGTACGGAAAGCACGTGGGGGCCGCCATATTGCCCGTCCGTCCGCTCCGTACCGGAAGCGCCGTCTCGGAGCCGCGGCGGCGGCGGCCATGGCGCTGACCCCGGTGCTGCGGCGGCTCCGCGGGCGGCGGGTGGTGTTGGCGAGCGCGTCCCCGAGGAGGCGGGACATCCTGGGCTACACGGTGACCACTTCCGGGTCGGCCGGCCAGGATCCGGCCCGCGGGGCGGGGGCGGGGCGGGACGGGGTGGGGCGAGCGCGGTGACACCCTGACCTCTCACACCCTGACCCCTGACCCCGCAGGGCCTCCGGTTCGAGGTCGTGCCCTCCCGCTTCCCGGAGACCCTTGACCCCGCGGCCTTCGCGACCCCGCACGCGTACGCCCGCGAGAACGCGCGGCGGAAGGCGCTGGAGGTGGCGTTGCGCCTGCGCGAGGTGGGTGAGGGGCGATCGGCGGCGGCCGCCATTGGCCCGCGCGGCTGTCCTTCCGCCCCCGGGGCCACGCCCACTGACGTCATCTTCTCTTTAATCCCCGCCCCCTCCCCCACCCCCCCACCCCCCCCCCCCGCAGAAAGACCAGCGGGCCCCGGATGTCGTCTTTGGCGCCGACACCATTGTGGTGAGGACGGAGGCCACGCCCCCTCCTGGCGGCCACGCCCCCGCACGAAGGCCTCAACCCCTCACTGTGACCCCGCCCCTCGCGGAGACCACGACCCTTCCCGTCGACTCCGCCCCTCATGCTGACCCCGCCCTCTCACACAGGCCCCGCCCCTCAGACCTCAGGCCCCGCCACCTCGCGGCGACCCCGCCCCCTCGCGGTGACCACGCCTCCTTGTGTCGACCCCGCCCCGTCAAAGCAGGCCCTGCCCCTCGCGGCGACCACGCCCCCCTCGCGCAGGCCCCGCCCCTCGGCCCTCAGGACCCGCCCTCTCATCCCGGCCCCACCCCCTCACGCAGGCCCCGCCCCCTAACAGCGACTCCGCCCCTCACGCAGGCCCCGCCCCCTCCCCCCCAGGTCGTGGACGGGCTGATCCTGGGGAAGCCGCAGGACAAGGAGGATGCCATGGGGATGCTGCGCCGGTGGGTGGGGCCTGGGGGCCGGGGGTGGGGCTATGGCAGTGGGCGGGGCATGGGAGTGAGGGGGCGGGGCCTGTGAGATGGAGGGGGCGGGGCCTGGGGACAGAGTGGGCAGGGCCTGGGGCAGAGAGGGCGGTTCCCTCTGTCTGACCCCCGTGTGACCCCAGTCTGACCCCTGTGTGACCCCCATGTGACCCCATTCTGACCCCTGTGTGACCCCGTCTGACCCCCTTGTGACCCTAGTCTGACCCCCATGTGACCCCCGCGTGACCCATGTCTGACCTCCACGTGACCCCAGTCTGACCTCTGTGTGACCCCCACCTGACCCCAGTCTGACCCCCATACGAACCCAGTCTGACCGCTGTGTGAACCCAGTCTGACCCCTGTGACCCCCATGTGACCTCCACCTGAGCCCTGTGTGACCCCCATGTGAACCCAGTCTGACCCTCACATGACCCCGGTCTGACCCCAGTCTGAGCCCCACGTGACCCCCGTCTGACCCCCGTGACCTCCCCGTGACCCCGCAGGCTGAGCGGGCGCGAGCACAGCGTCATCACGGCCGTGGCCATCGTCCTCTTCCCGCCCCGCGACCCCAGTGACCCCCGCGACCCCGGCGGTGACCCCGGCGATGACCCCACGGTGACCTCGTTCCACGAGGAGACGCGGGTGATGTTCTCCCAGCTGACAGAGGAGCTGATGCGCGACTACGTGGACAGCGGGGAGCCCATGTGAGCCCGGGGGCGGGGACTGGGGCGGGGCCTGCGACGACATCACCGGGGGGCGGGGCCTGTGACATCACCGGGGGGCGGGCCAAGGGAGGAGAAAAAAAAAACGAACGGGGAACTTCTACGCGACCCGCGACGCCCCGCCTGCCCCCCCCTGACAGGAAGTGGGCGTGTCCCTGACGACGAGGCCCCGCCCCCCTCCCCCGCAGGGACAAGGCCGGCGGGTACGCGCTGCAGGCGCTGGGCGCGATGCTGGTGGAGCGCGTGGAGGGCGACGCCCTGGGCGCCGTGGGGTTCCCCCTGAACCGCGTCTGCCGCGAGCTGCAGGGCCTGCTGGGGGGGGCGGCGACCCCTGACCCCTGACCCTGCGACCCCCGACAACCCCGCGACCCCCTGACCCCCCTGACCTCCATGACCCCTGACCCCCTGATCTCTGGCCTGAAAAATAAACCCGAGGGTCACGCCCCGACCCCCCGACCCCTGACCCCCCCGTGACCCCCCCGACCCCTGACCCCCTGGCCGGAAAATAAAAATAAACCCGAGGGTCGCGGAGTTTGTCATCCGTCGTCGCTCCCGGTTCTTGTTTCTTCATTTGCTCGCTCGTTAATTTGTTTATTGTGAGTTTATCTTTATTATTAATTTATCCCCGATTCGTTAATTTATTTATTTTTGTTTACCGTTAATTTATTAATTTACTTATGAATTTATTTTTATTTATTGTTAATTTATACCTGATTTGTTAATTTACTCATTACGAATTTTTTGTTTGTTATTAATTTACTACTAATTTATTAATTTTCTTGTGACGAATTTATTATTAGCTTACCGCTAGTTTGTTAACTCACTCATCACGAAATTATTTATTTTTACCCGTTTATTACTAACTCATTTGCTCATCATGGATTTGTTTATCATTAATTCGTTGCTGACTCATTAATTTATTTGTTATGAATTTTATTAATAATCCATCACGGATTTATTAATTTATTAGTTTATCACTAATTTATTAATTTACTAAGCACTGAGCACCCGGGGTACTGAGCGCCGGGCACCCGGGGTACTGAGCACCCAGCACTGAGCCCTGATCCGTAAGCACTGAGTCCTGAGCACCGGGCACCCGGGGTACTGAGCACCGAGCACTCAGGGTACTGAGCACCAAGCACTGAGCCCCGATCCGTAAGCGCTGAGTCCTAAGCACCCGGGGTACTGAGCACCAAGCACCCAGGGTACTGAGTCTTGAGCACTGAGCACCCGGGGTACTAAGTCCTGAGCACCGAGCACCCAGGGGTACTGATCAGCGAGCACTGAGCCCCGATCCGTAAGCACTGAGTACTAAGCACCAAGCACCCAGGGGTACTGAGCACTGAGCACCCAGCATCCAGGGTACTGAGCACTGAGCCCCGATCCGTAAGCACTGAGTACTAAGCACCAAGCACCCAGGGGTACTGAGCACTGAGCACCCAGCATCCAGGGTACTGAGCACTGAGCCCCGATCCGTAAGCACTGAGTACTAAGCACCAAGCACCCAGGGGTACTGAGCACTGAGCACCCAGCATCCAGGGTACTGAGCACTGAGCCCCGATCCGTAAGCACTGAGTACTAAGCACCAAGCACCCAGGGGTACTGAGCACTGAGCACCCAGCACCCAGGGTACTGATCAGCGAGCACTGAGCCCCGATCCGTAAGCACTGAGTACTAAGCACCAAGCACCCAGGGGTACTGAGCACTGAGCACTGAGCCCCGATCCGTAAGCACTGATTATGAAGCACCGGGTACTGGGGTACTGAGCACCAAGCACCGAGCACCGAGCACCGAGCACCCAGTCCTGAGCTCAGAACTGGGGTAGAAATCAAATTGATAATAATAAAATCATTAATAGTAAAACGTAAAAATTAAATCTGTGAACATAAAAGAAAAATAATCGGGTTATGAAAACAAATAATTAGGTTATGAAAATTAAATTTATAATAATAAAATAATTAATTGTAACGTAATAATAAAAGAAATCACCAAAATAAAATGACATAAAATTAATGATGACACAAAACTAATATTATAAGTGAATTATTAATTAATTAAATTAATTAATATGATTAATTAAAATGATAAAAAAATTAGTTTCAGGTTTTTTTTAAAAATATAATTTATTTATTTATTAAACCAAACGTTGAATATTTTTATATTTATATTTACTTATTAGGGATTTATTTTTAATTTATTTTCTATTTTGTATTTATTTTTTCTCCTGTATTTCTTCGTCTAAGAATTTTAATTGGATTTGATTTCAATGCAATCAGAACTTTAATTTTAATTTAGTGTAATTAGAATTTTAATAAAACTTTTTAATTTTAGTTTAATGTCATTAGAATTTTTGATTTGATTTCATTTTAATTAGAACTTTAATTTAATTTCAATTTAACGTAATTAGAATTTTAATTTAATTTGATTTTTTGTAATTAGAACTTTAATTTAATTTTTATTTAAAGTAATTAGATTTTATTTGATTTGATTTCAATGCAATTAGAACTTTAATTTTAATTTAATTAGAATTTTAATTTTATTTCATTGTAATTCGAAATTTAATTTAATTTTAAGTTAACAAATTAGAATTTTGATTTGATTTGATTTTTTGTAATTAAAACTTTAATTTTAACTTAACGTGATTAGAATTTTAATTTGATTTGTTTTCATTGCAATTAGAACTTTAATTTTAATTTAATGTAATTAGAATTTTAATGATTTCAATGCAATTACAACTTTAATTTAATTTTTATTTAACATAATTAGAATTTTAATTTGATTTGATTTCAATGCAATTAAACTTTAATTTTAGTTTAATTAGAATTTTAATTTGATTTCAATGCCATTAGAAATTTAATTTAATTTTAACTTAACGTAATTAGAATTCTAGTTTCCATGTAATTCGATTTTAATCTAATTAAACGTCGTGAAACCTTTGTATTTATTTCATTTTGGCCTCAACGTGAATTTAAAAATTAAAAAAAACCGTTTTAATCTGCGTTCGGCGAGATGAATTTATTTAAATTTAATTAGAAGTTAAAATGGATTTGACGTAATAATTCAATTAAAATGAGTTTTTTAATTTCAAAAAAGGCACTGATTTTAATTTAGTCGAATTTAATTAAATTATTAAAAATTAAAATGGATTTAACATAATTCAATTAAAATGAGTCTCTTTTAATTTTAACAAAAGGCACTGATTTTAATTTAGTTGAATTTGTTAAATTCGTTTAAGTCATTAAATTCAATTTATTAAATTCCTTTAGATTAATTTTAATATAATCATAATTAAATCATTAAATCTAATTTATTAAATTCATTTAAATCATTTTAATATAATCATAGTTAAACCATTAAATTTAATTTATTAAATTCATTTAGATTACTTTAATTTTAATATATTCATAATTAAATCATTTAATTTAATTTATTAAATTCATTTAAATCATTTTAATTTTAATATAATCGAATCTTCATTTTATTTCTTTTCAGGGAAAATTAATTAAAATTTCGATTTCATTAAGTTTTGATCAACACGAATGAAGATTTTAATTTAATTTAGATTTTAATTTAATTTCATTTGGTTAAAATAAATTTAGAATTAAGGTTTTAATTTAATAATTTAGATTTTAATTTAAATTAATTTGGTTCAAATAAATTTAGAATGAAGATTTTAATTTAATTTAGATTTTAATTTAATTTGGTTCAAATAAATTTAGAATAAAGATTTTAATTTAATTTAGATTTTAATTTAATTTAATTTGGTTCAAATAAGTTTAGAATGAAGATTTTAATATTTAATTTAGATTTTAATTTAATTTAATTTGGTTCAAATATTTTACTTTCTATTATTCATTTTATTATTTTTTTTCTTGGCTGGGTGCTGGGTGACCTCGGTGCTGCGCTCAGTGCTTCTCAGCCTGGGCTACGGGAGACTCGGTGCTCGGTGCTTGGTGCTTGGTGCTCAGTACCCTGGGTGCTTGGTGCTTGGTGCTCAGTACCCTGGGTGCTTGGTGCTCAGTGCTCAGTGCTTGGTGCTCGGTGCTCAGTGCTTGGTGCTCGGTGCTCAGTGCTCAGTGCTCGGTGCTCAATGCTCGGTGCTCGGTGCCCCAGGTAATCATGGGAGATGTAGTCCTGTGGGGCAGCCGGCCGGCAGGCAACATGGCCGCCCCGGGGACTCATGGGAGACGTAGTCCTGTGGGGCAGCCGGCCGGCAGGCAACATGGCAGCCCCGGGGAATCATGGGAGATGTAGTCCCGCCACCCCAGGGAATCATGGGAGACGTAGTCCCGCGTTGCAGTGCAGTTGCTCCCCACACCCCGCCCCAACCCCAGCCACGCCCACTCCTAGCCCCGCCCACCCTAGCAATGCCAATGCTGCGCCCCTGGCCCCGCCCCCAACCCTAGCCACGCCCACTCCTAGCGCCGCTTATAATTATTAAAGAATTATGAGAATTATAAGAATTAAAAGAATTAAAATAATTATAAGAGTTATAAAAATTAAAATAATTACAAGAGTTAAAAGAATTATAAAAATTATAAGAATTAAAAGAATTTTAAGAATTATAAGAATTATTAGAATTATAAGAATTAAAAGAATTATAAGAATTTTCAAAATTATAAGAATTATAGGATTATAACAATTAAAATAATTATAAGAATTAAAACAATTCCAAGAATTAAAGGAATTATAAGAATTAAAAGAATTACAAGTATTATAAGAATTACAAAAATTATAAGGTTTCTTTACTTAATCCGCGGTGCCAAAATCATGTAAGAATTCAGTATATAAGCTTAATCGGTGACACCAAAATAATCAATAATAATAATAATAATAATAATAATAATAATAATAATAAGGAATTAAGGTTATGCATTCCCTCTATGACTAAATCTGCATGCACTTTGTTCTTTTTTTAATATAATAATAATAATAGTGATAATAATGATAATAATAATAATAATTATAATGATGATAAAGAATTAATTTAAAAAAAGATGTCAGTATTCGTATTTATTCCAACACGGACCCGCATATATTGAATTCTTTCTTCTTTTTTTTTCTTTTTTTTTTTTTGCAAAATTCAGTCAAAAATTTCCCAAAATCAACGGCCGAAGCGTTCATGTTCATTCCCGAGATTCGTTTTTAAATCGGAATTCTTCATTAAAACCCATTTTTTTCGTCGGCTTAAATTTCCCAAATTGCCAGGTTTTTCTGTCTCATGGATTCATCGCCTTTTTTAAAATTTGTTTTTATTCAATTTATTTCAGCCATGCTTTTGTATTGTTTTTATTCAATGTATTTATTTTTTTATTCAATTTATTTCAGCCCTGCGTTTGTATTGTTTTTATTCAATTTATTTATTTTTTTATTCAATTTATTTCAGCCCTGCATTTGTATTGTTATTATTCGCTTTATTTATTTTTTATGCAATTTATTTCAGCCCTGCACTTGTATTATTTTTATTCAATTTATTTA